ACTGAATGCCTATCCACCTGTATTGATTACTGAGAAATAAGATTCAGGCACACGATTGGGAATTTCCTTGCTGTACATTTGGACATACATATTGTCATAGCCACAGGTTCTCACATTGTTGCAATCTCTAGAAACCTGAAGCACACTACAAATGTGAAGATAGCTTCTCAAGTTACAGAACATCCTTTCCTGGTGGCTCAGTTGTCTGAGACTACTCTAGGAGGCATGGTTAGTCTGAGATACTTCAGGGACTCACAGCAGTTATTTATTTATTATTCTCTTCTAAGGCAAAGGGCCTTGTGATTCTCATCAGTCTTGGGGACTTATTAGAACTATTAGAGGTCTTTATTTCCTGTCTAAATCATCTTGCCTTCAGAGTGGAGTGTTTCAGTCTCGGGGAAATTGTTGCATAAAAGCACATTTTTCAGGCATCTCCATTTTGTCCTCATTACGAAGTTATTTGCGGGAGGCAGGGGATGAGATAGGGGTTCTCTATATAACAGCTCTAACTCCTGGAACTCGCTCTGTAGACAAGGCTGGCCTCAAACTCAAGAGATCCACCTGCCTCTGCCTCCTGACTGCTGGTAGGCATGCACCACCACCAGGCTCAGAAATTTGAATTGAACAAATAAAATAACTTACTGAAAGATTTTCCAATATTGTCACATTTCATATTCCCCCCCCAGGATAAACTTTTCTGGTTTTTGAACATTCACACACTTCTCAATGTTTCTCATTATGCTAAACTTTCTAGTATGTAGCCTTCAGAGGTCTGTAAGAATGAAGCTATGGATAAATTATATGCTACATTATTTATTATATGACGGTTTTCCCCAACTATGAATTTTTTGTGCTTTTTAAGAGCCCTCAGTCCTAGGTAAAATATTTGCCATATTCTGTATGCTTTTGAGTTTTCTCTACTGGATGAATTCACTGATTTCTAAGATCTGTGCCACTGGTAAAACATTTGCCACATTTACTACACATATAATGGATTGATACAGTGTGGATTCTGCAGTGTCTTATGAAGTTTGGTGAATAATTATAGGACTTAACACAATTTTTATATTTGTGTATTTTTCCTCCATAGCTGTTGTAGTAATGTTAAGTGTAACAACCAATGAAAGGATATTCAACAGTCAGTACATGTTAAGGGTGTTCCTATAGCATGAATTCTGTGATGGAGTACAGTCACTGAGCTCATGCCATTAAATTTGTCAAATTCATCACATGGACATAGTGAGGAAATATTGTGCAGTGAGACCAGTGACCATCAGGGCAAGTCCAAATCCTGTAAGTCCATGTGCAGTTGCAAAGAACTTCGATGTCTCTTTTATTTGTCAAGTTGAGTGATTAGCTCACCAACTCCATGGATCCCCTTCAGTCCCCGAGCTGCTAAAGACTGGTCATCATGGCAACAATGATATATTTTGGATATGAGCCCTATGGCAGTTTGAAGAAAAAAAAAGGCCCCCAAAGGGAATGGCATTATTAGGATTTGTGGCTTGTTGGAGTATGTATGACTTTCTTGGAGGAAGTGTATCACTGTGGGGGTGGGATTTGAGGTCACCTATGCTCAAGGTATTCACAGGATCACAGTTCACCTCCTGTGGTTTTTGATCAACATGTGGAAAGCACCATGTCTGTCTGCATGCTGCCAAGTACCTCACCATGATAATGGACTAAACCTTTGAAACATACATCATCCTCAATAAAAGGTTTCCTTTTGGAAAACTTGTCATGTTCATGGTCATGGTGCCTAATCACAACATCTGAAATCCTAAGAAAGCTCTCTATCAGATGTGGGGTTGGTTAAAATCTTTTCTCATATTTGATTTTGTCTCTGGCTGAATGATGGTGCCCTCTGCTATATGAAGCTTTTCAGTTTCTTGAGGTACCCTTAATTGTTGTCCTTAGTGTCTGTGCTATCCATGTTCTATCCACACATAGTCACTTTCCCCATGCCAATGAGATCAAGGCTAATCTCTACTTCCTCTTCTACCAGATTCAGTGTGCCTTGCCTTATGTTAAGGTCATTGTTCCAGGCAGGGTGATAAAATGTAGATTCATTTGGATTCAAATATCTGTTCGAATAAAAAGGATGAAGTGGGATTCAGGAACCTTGTATTACAGATTGAGAACTAAGGAACCCTCAACCTGAAGTGAAAAATGAAATATTCAGTAAGCTTAATAATAACTTAGTGGAAAAGCTGTCTTCCAGGATTTAGGTGAGACAAACATCAGGGCTTGAAGTCAAGATAAAGGAACTGGATCACCCAATGAAAGAAATGATAGATAAAATAAAATCATCCCTGAATTCTAGCAGCAATATTTAAAGACAAGTGAAATTCAAGTCTTTAATAACAGCAGTAGGAGGCAGCAGCATGCAGATCTATTAGAGTTGGAAGCCAGCTTGGTCTCCATTTCAGGTTACAGGCCTGTGGGGTAAAAGGGCTAGCCAAAGAAACCCACAATAACCCTGAAACTAAAACCTGCCAAAGAAACCCCACACTGGGGCCAGAGAGATGGCTCAATGGTTAAGAGCACTGGCTGTTCTTCCAGAAGATGCACGTACAATTTTCAGCACCCATATGACAGCTGAAAACTGTAACTCCAGTTCCAGGAGATCTGATACCTTCACAGTAATTCACATAAACTTAAATAAAAAGAAATTTAAAAAAAAATCCTGGCCATCCTGGCCATGAAACCATAGCCAGTTAAAGAAACACAGCCTGATCTTGAATCCAGCACGAGTGAAAGGAACACTTTGACCCTGAAATCAGAGCCAAAGAAACACACTCCGGCCCTGGAACCAAAGTCAGTGAAAGAAACACACCCTAACCCTGAAACAAGAACCAAAGTTCTAAGAAGGCTCCCAGAAAGAAACACACTTTCGTCCCCCAAGCAGAGCCAAATCTGCCGCTGACCAACTGAATACAAAACCAAGCAATTTCTGAGCAGGAAAACAAACCAATCGTTGAGCAGAAAACCAACCAATCCATGACCAAAGAATCTGGCCAATATGAACTTGTACAACATGAAGAGGGTCAAAATATGGCCAATTCCCTCCCTGAAAATCTTATCGCTGGAAGCACTTCACCCCTAAAAGCCCTATATAAGCCCTCTGCCTGTTAAGTTGGCAGATACCTCCACCCTGGCAGAGGCGGCCACTCTCCTGGATTCCGCTTTCCCAAATAATTCTCTTGAAGGTGCTTTGGGTTAAAATCTCCTTTCTGCTGCCAAGCTACCAGAGCAGAAGCAACTGATACCTCTGCTTGGAAATTCTCAAGAGCAAAGCAGAAGTAATACCTTTTTTTCTGGAGCCAGAGCAGAGTGCTACATGGACATGAGCTGAGAAGAGACATCTCTGTTGGTAAACTCTGTTGGGGGCTGGGAGGGAGCAAAGCTGAGCTAATTTTCATCTCAGAGAGGAGCAGATTGCCATTCTTACAGGGAGACCACTTCCCACTAGACTCCAGCTTCAGGTATAGCCTGACTTGGTGACAAGTCATGATACTCATTTCCTCACAGCCACAGGTGTCTAGAATACCTTCCTTCCACAGCTGTAGTTACAGTCCGACTTCCCAACAAATCAGAGTACCTTTCTCTCCTGAGCTAGAAGTATCTATCCAGAATACCTTCCCTTCACAACTTCAGGTGTAGCCTGACTGCCCAACAAGTCAAGATACCTTTCTCCTTATAGCTGTAGGTATCCATGATACTTCCCTTCACAGCTGTACTTATAGCCTGTCTTTCTGACAAGTCAGGATAACTTTCCCTCTGTAGCTATAACACTTGCAGGTATAGCCTCATTTCCCAAGAAGTCAGGGTACCTTTCTTTTCACAGCTGTAACACGTGCAAGGTCAGCCAGGCTGCAAAGCTACGCAGAGACCTTGTCATGAAAAACAAACAAAACATTAATGATGTCAAGGGAGTGGGGAAGGAGAGACTAAATTGGGTAAACGTTAATGATTCCTAGGAAATACTTTAAGTGAAATGTATTGCAACTGTTTGTGCTTGAATGCATTCCAACTTCTAGAAATCCAGCTTGAGTTTATTAGACACCATCTATTTGAAAGACAATTGAGGGTCTCTTCATTTTTGATCATCCTCTGTACTGTGGGTCAGAACCCTGCTGGAGTTGGACTCTGCCAAGTAGCCAGTGCTCTTAATCTCTGAGCAATCTCTTCAGCCCCTGTATAAAAAACTCAAATGAGTCAAAATCAGGTGCAACATCATAGGATCCTAATTTTGCCCTCTCTGTACCAGGCTCCTTGACTCTGCTCCATAGAGTTTGCACCTACACATTCAACTTTCCAGTCACTAGTGGGAAATTCGTTCACCTGTCTAATTCATTTGTTACCATTTGCTCAATATGTTTCTGATTTCCTTTTTTACAATAGAGTGAAACCAGAGATGGCACCTTGAAACCTGAACTCATTACAGTTGGCATACAGTTTATGTTTTCCACCAACACACCTGCAAACCTATCTTATGTCTGGACTCCCTATGCTACAAAAGTAGTCATGAAAACAATTCTAACCTCTTGTGCACCAAGATTCTCTCTCTGCCAAGTCAGTAGGCACACTACAGGTTGTATTAACCATTTCAGTTCATATTTCAAACAACAGCAATACTGAGAATACCTTAATGTGCATACACAATATTTTCCCATGAGTTGGCTATGACTATCCTCTTGCACTGAAATCCCTGAAACATGTATACATGTTTAACATGTGGCATGGTTAAATACACTGCAATGAATTTCTTGGCCTAGGACTAAAATGTCTGAGTCTCAAGTATCCGTATTCTAATATAGTGCTTATGAGTTGGGATAAGTACTTCTCCATCTATTCTCAGTACTGAAAAATGATCTTAAGGCACATTCCTGGGAATTTCTAGGGTATACAGCAGTATGTACATATTGTCTTGTTCATAGGTTATCTCATGTAAGTTTCTTAATTTACTTATATTTGTATGGATCAACTCACACATGAAATGAAAATAAAAGTAAGTCTTTATTGAAGCATTTTCTTGATAGGTATTCCATGATGAATTACTCTGGTATGTCTACAATAGTATAGTTGTTGAAAGGCTTTAACAAAAAGATGGCAGGGGACTTGTAGACTAGAATTTCTAAGGTTAAACAAGATACAAGGATAAAATGGTATTCAGTATTTGCCCATGGGCACCAGTATTCTGAGGTTCACTGGAGCTTTACTGAAGCATAGGGTCTAAGAATTTAGAGGCATGGATAAACAGAGCACACTTTGGAATATCTGACAGTTTCATAGGGATGTTTTCATTTGCCCCCGTGAAGACTGCTCTCTCCTCCCTGAATGCAACAAAAAAAGCAGCCTGCTCTATGAAGCTGCCTAAGCCTACATGTTCTGTGTTGAGGTCCTTTAACCAGAACAGCTACTACTATGCCAGTAAGCGTGTAGCAGTAAGAACCAGCAATCTTCCCTAAATTAGTATACTCATCTCTCTAGTATCATTTTTTCCTGCTGGACATGCAATATGGAGGAACAACAAATAGAGTTAGCAAATTCCATTAGTTCCCCCCCCCCAGGAAAATACACAATACATATGCATGTAGGCACCAAAATGGAAACCAACAAAAACCAAATATGAAAGCCACTGAAATCTATGTTTTTGAACCCATGAGCTTTATTGGGATTAATTACAAGAATATGAAAGTATTGTGCAATAATTGATTATACTGTGCAAAGCTAGGCAGGGAGAATAGGTGGGATTTATGGGAAAAGAAAGGAACTGGGAATGAATCTATGTATGGAGAGATGCCAGCAAGATGAACAAGTTGGAGGTACAGAATGAAAGAAGGGTAAAAAGCCTGATGGTACCATGTAGATTATAAATAAGGTATAATTTAAGATACAAGGGCTTCTTAGGAAAATATGTTTACAGAGAAGTCATTTATAGGGTCAAAAGAGACTCAACGGTAATTGCCATCACAAAAGTAAAACCTAGCATGGAATATAGATTACAAACAATGAACATCTGGAAGACACTGCCCCCTGCAGGCATACCCACAGGTTAAAGGATGCCCTATCTTCGTGGCTCACTTCATTTGCTGCAGTTTCACCTAAGCAGCATGATCGCTGTATTTCTTCATGGCAGTTAAACACAGTGAATCCTGTTAGATTCAGATACTTCTTGATGCTATTGAGTGGTTTATTTCTTGTCCTAATCAGATTCCCTTCAGGATGGAATATTTTAGTCTCCAGAAAATGCCTACACAATGGCATGTACATCAGGTTTCTCCATTTTTATTCATTATTAAATATTTGAAGTTGAAAAAATATGTTTTAAAGACATTTTTTTCTACATTATCACATTTTCAGAATTTTTCCTCAGTATAAAACTTTGATATTTTCTAAGATTTGAACATTGCTTAAAGGGGTTCTAAGCTTTTCATGTTCACAATGATTCAATAGTATAGAGCCTCTAGTGGTCCCTAAGGACATAGCTTGGAAAAAGAACATGCCACATTATTTACTATTCTCCACAGTATGTATTTTTTTGATGTTTATTTATATAACTGAGGTAAAGTCTTTGCCACATGCAATACATTTGTAAAGTATCTCACCTATATAAATTTTCTGATGGAGGCTAAGATATAAGTAAGTGGTAAAGGATTTAGCACATTCACAACATTTGTAAGGTTTCTCCCCTGCATGAAATTTCTAGTGCAATCTAAGGTATGAGCCACAGGCCAAGATTTCTCACACGCGCCACATTTGCAAGGTTTCTCTCCTGTATGAGTTATCAGATGTACTCTAAGATATGACCCACTGGTAAAATATTTGTTACTTTCACTGCATTTGTAGTGTTTGTCTCCTGTATGAACTCACTGAGTGGTTGGAAGTCTGCATTTCCATATAAAGCATTTGCCACATTCATTACATTTGTAGGTTTCTCTCCTGTATGAATTCTCTGGTGTTCTCTAAGTTTGAATTTCAGACCAAAGAATTTGCCACAGTCATTGCATTCATAAGTTTTCTCCCGAATATGAGTTTTATGATGCATCTTTAGATGTTGCTTCTTGATAAACGATATGCCACATTCACTACATTTGAAAGGTTTCTCGCCTCTATGGATTTTCTGATGCAATCTGAGATATGAACCAGTGGTAAAAGATTTCTGACACTCACCACATTTGTATGGTTTCTCTCCTGTATGAAATTTCTGATGTATCCTAAGATATGAGCCACTGGCAAAGGATTTCTCACATTCGCTGCATTTGTAAGGTTTCTCACCTGTATGAATTCTCTGATGCAACCGAAGAGACGAAGAACTGGTGAAGGATTTCTTACACTCACTGCACTTGTAAGGGTTCTCCTCAGCATGAATTTTCTGATGGCTTCTAAGATCTGAGCCAACGGAAAAGGATTTCTCGCACTCACTGCATTTGTAAGGCTTCTCTCCTGTATGAAGTGTCAGGTGTCTTATTAACTGTTGTTTCTGGTTAAAGCCTTTGTTGCATTCATTACATCGGTAAGGTTTCTCCGCGGTATGGATGTTCTGGTGCAACTGGAGAGATGAACTGCTGGTAAAGGACTTCCCACACTCACGACATTTGTAAGGTTTCACACCTGTATGATTTGTCTGATGTCTCCTAAGTTGGTGTTTCTGAATGAAGGACTTGTCACATTCGCTGCATTTGTAAGGTTTCTCACCTGTATGGATTCTCTGATGCAACCGAACAGCTGAACTACTGCTGAAGGATTTCTTACACTCACTGCACTTGTAAGGGTTCTCCTCGGCATGAATTTTCTGATGGCTTCTGAGATCTGAGCCAACGGAAAAGGATTTCTCACACTCGCTGCATTTGTAAGGCTTCTCTCCTGTATGAATTGTCTGATGTCTCTTCAGCTGTTGGTTCTGGAGAAAGCCTTTGCCACATTCATTACATCTGTAAGGTCTCTCACCAGTATGAAATTTCTGATGCAGCCGAAGAGATGAACTACTACTGAAGGATTTCTTACACTCACTGCACTTGTAAGGGTTCTCCTCGGCATGAATTTTCTGATGGCTTCTGAGATCTGAGCCAACGGAAAAGGATTTCTCACACTCGCTGCATTTGTAAGGCTTCTCTCCTGTATGAAGTGTCAGATGTCTCCTCAGCTGCTGTTTCTGGATAAAGCCTTTGCCGCATTCAGTACATTTGTAAGGCCTCTCGCCTTTATGAATGTTCTGATGCAATTTAAGGTATGAGCTACTGGTAAAGGACTTCTCACACTCACTACATTTATAAGGTTTCTCGCCTGTATGAATGTTCTGATGCAATCGAAGAGATGAACTACTAGTAAAGCCCTTGCCGCACTCGCTGCATTTGTATGGTTTCACACCTGTATGCACATTTTGATGCAATCTAAGATATGTAGTACGTGCAAAGGCTTTCCCACATATGGTGCATTTATAAGGCCTCTCTCCAGTATGAATTGTCTGATGTCTCCGAAGATGGTCTTTCTGGGAAAAGGATTTCTCACATTCACTACACTTGTAATTCTTCTCCCCTGTATGAAGTTTCTGATGGGTTCTTAGGTGTGTCTGCTGGGTAAAGCATTTGCCACATTCCTTACATTTGTAAGGTTTCTCTCCCGTATGAATTCTTTGATGTGTTGTGAGTTTACCTTTCTGAATAAAGGATTTATGACATTCAAAGCATTTGTAAGGTTTCTCTCCTGTGGGAATCCTCTGATTTGCTTTACCACCTGAGGCAGTGGAAAGGGATTTATCACATTCATTAAATCTGTCAATTTTCTCTTCAGTATGGCTTCTATCATGGTATTCAAGGTGCGACAATGTGTAGAAGTTACTGCACTGCTTATCTTTGTCAGACCTCTCTCCTCTATGAATTCTCTGATGTTCTTCAAGATCTGAGCAATAAATGAAGGACTTGGACTTGCCATAATCAGTAAATTTGTAAGTTTTCTCTTCAGTGTGGATTTTGTAATGTCTTATAAACTCTAATGAATCATAAAAGCACTTACTGCTTTCAGTACAATTGTAGGATTTTTCTCCATAAGGAATGCTGTTATGTACTTTGTGTTGCAATAAATTCAGAAAGAAATTCCTACATTCTGTACATTTATAAGATTTCTCCTCTGTATGAGATCCTTTATGTCTATTGAGGATTGCGTATGTCATGAAGCATTTTTCACATTTCTGGCATTGCTCTGATTTCTTTCCACTGTGGATTCTTTTCAGTGTGAGTTCATGGTTATAGTCAAAAGACTTATCAGTCTCTGTATTTTTGTGTTCTTCCTTTCCAGTGTAGATTCCTAGATTTTGGCTAATGATGGAACAGAAACACAAACAGCTTGCATAGTCCTTATATTTGCAGGATTCTTCTCCCATGCTGCCACTTCTTTGTCGGGTTGAGTTTAATAATTCAACAGAGGCATCTCTTTGGTTTCCAAATATAATCTTGCAGTTTTCTGCAATGTCACTTCTGTCATAAGGTATACATTCAAAAGATTCATGAGCAACTTTGTTAAGATCATTACATTTGAAAGGCTCCTCTTGGAGATTCACATAATCATGGACAATATCCTTTGAAGCATGGTGAAGGGCCTTCTTATATTCAACACACATGTGATGGTTGTCTGGAAAATTAGCACAAGTAAGGATTATAGGGATTGATTCATGAATAACAGATTCACTACCTGAAATTTTCTTAAGAAGGGTAGAGTAGTAATTCATAGGAACAGAGCTTTGAGCAGATGCTTTTTGCATTTCACTATCATTCTATGGAAGGTTCAGAAGAACCTCCACTCAAACTGCAAAGATCACTAGTAACATCCTCATCCTTATCTAAGCCTTATAAAAGGTCAGACAAATACGTGAACAAGCAAAAATGAACTCTGATAAAGGAGCTCTCTGAAGGGCAACATGAAGAAGATCTCCTCTTTTCTTGCTTATGTTTGTAAGACAGTTACATTGTGTTACCTCCTTTGCTTAGAAACTCTCTTTGTAACCTATGCTGGAAAGAAACTCACCTTTTTCTTCATCTTCCCTAAAGTGATTAAAACCATGCCAAGACTAAATACAGAGACCACATCTCAAACAACAAAGAAACACAACAACATCCTCACCACCAAAATCTGTTTCTCTAACGTAAAGCCTCTCCTTTTGAGGGCTCTAAGGGGGCTGCTTGGATTCCCTGGGGTGGAGGAAATAGAGTGGATATTGCTAGTGGAAGGAAGGTGGGTGGGGATAGGAAAAGGAGAGATCAGGGTTGGGGTGGAGAGAATGGAGGGAGAGAATATGGGAAGAGACAACTGAAATAGGATACTAGCCTGTAAGGTGCGTGCATGGGGTGTGTGTGTATAAACCGTGCAGTACAAACTACCAGGATTCTATGAGGCTTAAAATGGTGGGACTGGGACACCAAGCCAGGCACAAACCTTCCACCTACAATCTATCCTACGTGCAAGATGTGCTGGAGCGATGGAGGTGCAGAATTGGTGAGAGTGGCCAACCAATGACTGGTCTAATTTGAGGCCCACACCATGAAAGGAAGCCCATGCCCAATGTTGCCTGGATGACCAGGAACCTGAGGCTGGAGAGTCATGATATATATGATTTAAGAAAGTAAATCAAACAATTCCTAATGCTATTCTTCTATACTCTTTTATATAAGAGTAGTCCAATTCTCACCAGAGGCTACCAGCAGCATCTGACAAGAGTAGATGCCGAACCCACAGCCAAACATCAGGTGGAGAGTTCAAATTGGAGATCTCCATCAGGTCTGTCACCTTGGAACTCAGCAAACCACAAGGAACAAGAGGAAGAAGTGTGCGAGCCGGAGAGGATGGAGGTTGAGGATACCAGGAAAACATGACCCACGGACATCAACTAGGTAGAGCCGACAGGGGCTCACAGGAACTGAAGAAGCAATCACAGAGACTGCATGAGTCTGCTCTAGGTACTCTGCATATATGCTATGATTGTTAGCTTGATGCTTTTTTTGGGACTTCTAATGGTGCGAACGGGAACCTCTCTGACTCTTCTGACTGCTTTGGGACCCTTTTCAACTACTGGTTGCCTCATCCAGCCTCAAAATGGTAAATGGTGTTTAGCCATGTTTTTTTTTCTGGTTTGTCTAGTTTGTTTTCAAGACAGGGTTTTTCTGTGTAGTGTTGGCTGTCCTGGGACTCATTCAATAGACCAGGCTGGCCTTAAGCTCAGAGATGCGCTGGTCTGTGCCTCCCGAGTGTTGGGATTAAAGTGGTGTGCCATCACTGCCTTGCTGTGTATGATCTTATTATATCTTGTTAGGCTGTGTTAAGCTGAGATCCCTGGAAGGCTTGTTCCTTTCTAAAAAGAAACAGAAGAGGAGTAGATCTGGAAGAGACGGGAGGTTGGGGGACATGGGAGAAGACGTAGGGGAAACTGGGGCCAGAATGTATTGGAAAAACCAAAAAAACCCCACAAAACTATCCTTTTTTTAAAGCTAAGAAATTGGAGAGTAACTTAATCCAGTAGTAAAATCAAAACATGTTAATTACTCAGTATATTGCAATGTCTGTCCTTGTCTTAAATAGTCAGTTGTCTTTGCACTTTGAAGTTTTCATTAAAAACAGGTAACGGGACTGGAGATCAGGCAGTGTATAGCACTGGTTGCTGCTCCAGAGAACACAGAAAGTGTAAAGAAGAACCATGAAAAAGATCATGTTGATAACCAGCATTTCCCTTACTTCTGGAAGTCTCTAGACAGCTCAGGGAGTTTACATACATACAAATAGTTAAAAACAAATGATAAATCAGAAATTCTACATGAAGAGCATTCTTACCCACAAACACTAGATTGCTGTAATTCTCTAACATCACATCCATGTACAAAGTCTTCTGAGCAGAGTCCAGACATTCCCACTCTTCCTGGGAAAGGTCCACAGCCACATCCCAGAATGTCAACAGATCCTGTAATGGAAAATTGTACATTTACCATGAGCTGCTGGACAAAATGCTTTCCTAGGTAAAAGACAACTAAAAATTAAAGATTGTGCTCGCTTCAACAGCACATATACTAAAAAAAAATTAGAGATATTTTATGATACAGGTGAGGTATGAACATTAGTCAAGCACAAGTTTTCTAAATATGCTAGAGAGGCTCAGTGGTTAAAAGCACTTGCTGCTCTTCTAGAGGATCATAGCCTGTCTCACAGCACCCAGACGGCACTATTCCAGTTCCATGGGATCCAATGTTCTCTTCTAAATTTTATAGGCAGGAGACCCAGAGAGCACTCACACATGTATTCAGCCAAATAGACCCACACAATAAGATAAAACTGAAAGTTAATTTTAATGAAAGGTACTTTCCAGAAGACAATACCCTACATTGCATCTCCTGTCTTTGTGAAAACAGGATGACATAATAGTACCACAATCAGCAAATTTGGAAGGAACACAAGAAACACATTCAAGATGTAGATTCAGGAATGTAACTTTACAAAGGCTGTCTTGAAGTCAAGGATGTTCAGGGTCACTTCTCACAAGCAAATGCTAGGATGAGCAAACGTGTGCTTCCAAATTTGCTACAAGTCGCAAGATAACTCACAAGAAGGAAGGATTTTTGTGATGGATGAAACCAGTACAAAGGCTGTACCTGGTGCTATAATCTCAGGAAGGAATTGGCTGTGTCTTGCTGTAGATTCTTCCTGTAGCTTATTCCTTTCTGTAAAAAACTAGGGATTTACATCCCTCAGTTCAGCACCATCGATCATTTACTGGGAACAAATTTCTCCCATGTATTTGGAGTTTTGCTGATTACACTCCCTAGCTATGCGTAGATACCTATTCTCCATTAGCAGGTCCTAGTTTACTGATTATATTCCTCAGCTATGTGTGAGTTCTGTTTCCCACGATCAGGTCCTGGTTCCCCTCTCCATTGCAATGGCAGAGATCTGCCTTCCTGCAGATACCTTTATGGACAGGCATTTGGTCAGTGTTTAGGGCCCAGGCAAAAGCATCCTATCTAAGACATTCCCAGATATCCAAGGACATAGAATTACTACATGTCCAAAGTTGTTGATTCATAGCTGCCTAGATGGATAGAAAAATAAGCATACCCTTGGCTTTACCTCACTGGCAAATAGAGAAAGCAATAACCGAAACTAAGCCAGCACTAAAAGCTTCTCAAACGTCTTATTTCATTAACTCAAGATTTCAGTTCAGAGATTTACTGCTCCCTCCTGTTTCCCCTGAGAAGATAAAGACAAAGATAATCAGCCCATTTGCTCATTCTCAGGGAAAAGTAAACCTTCCTGAAGGCCTGTGCTGCCACTGAGGCCAGAGCACTGGAAGGCAACAGGTTTTCCTTCTTGTGCAAATTAAACTTAGACCCCCTCTTTGAACTACAACCCTAAATATTTCTCCTGGCAGTTTTAGTTCATTGCTTTGTGTGTAAATCTCATCTGCCTTGCTTACACCGAGAAGCTCAAGCCTCACACAGTATTGTAAAAAGAATTACTACTGCAAATGTATATATACCTGTAGCCCATGAACTGGGGAGAATTTGAGAGAAAGAGAAACATAACAGCAAGAGAGAAAGAGCAAAAGAAGAATAAAAAACATGCAGAGGAGCAATTGTGTGTGAGTCCATTCCTTTTCCCCTCAGATTTTAGTTCCCTCGCTTATTTGTAGTTCCTTTTTTCAAACCCTGAGTGAAAATATTAGAAGCAGGACTTTTTTTTTTAAAACAGTTTTTGATACAAATTCTACAATGTTTAAATATGTATGCTGTACCAACCATCTTTACAGCTGGGCCTCACATGACTCTATCCTAACATTCTCACTTTAGATCCTGAGCTCTAGGTATAATGCTGCATGCTTTCAAGAACAAAGACGTAGAATAAGGAATGAAGAATTCATGGGTGAATTAAAAGTCAGAGATTTTCTTTAAATAGAAAAGACTATAATATCAGTCCATATATCCAACATACAGAAGAACCCATAGACTCAACAATTTTGTGAATTTTTTTGAAAGCATTTACAGCCATAAAATGAATAGAAAAAGCTGCCTTAGAAAGTGGTAATTTTATCTAAATTTTTCAAAAGTAGGCAGATCCAATATAGGCAAAGAACAATTTCAGAAATTCAATATGAGGTTTCAGTATATGATGAGAAAAATATTTACAAATAAACATTGTATGTGATAATGCATTCAGATAAAGTATAAAGATTTTCTGTATATGAAATGAAGGTATTAAGGGTGTAAGAAGTATTCTAACTCCCTATTGGTTTTGAAGATATAATTGCTCATGAGAATGACTCAATAGAAAATTTCAACACTTCTTTTATTCAGTATTTGAGCTGAATTATCAAACAGGGTTTTGGTTTGCATAGGTTTGAACCATTCATGATTTCTCCTCCCCCCCCCAAAAAAATAAAAGACACAGAGCTGCAGAGTAGGCCAATATTGAGTGTGCACTACAAATATAAACCTGGGGGCTGGAAAGATGACATAGAAGTAATGGACATTTGATGTTCATGCAGAGAAATTGAGCATCATTCTCTCCACAAACAGGGCAGCTCAATGTAGTACCTGATTCTAATGCCAAGGGTTAGGGCTCTGCAGCCCTCGTGTAAGCATGCGGTGCATAGAAAAGCATGCAGATGAACACTCACATACTTAAAGTATTTCTAAAGAATGAACAGGAAACCTGTCTACCTCAACAACTCTTCAAAGCCTGTACAGACGTAAACTATACCATAAAAAAAGGAAAAAACAGAAGGTTGCGGGCGCCTTCTTCCTCAAAAAGAAAAGAGAGGAAAGTGATTACAATGGACATCCATTTATGTTTGAAAACTGATGTCTTATACACAACACCAAGTCAATGCTCTTCAGAAAATTCTTACTCAGGGCTAGAGAAAGACGGCTCAGTGGTTACGAGCACTGGCTGCTCTTCCAGAAATCCTGAGTTCAATTCCCAGCAACCACGTGGTGGCTCACAACCATTTGTAATAAGACCTGGTGCCCTCTTCTGGCCTGCAGGCACACATGCAGAGAGAATACTGTATACATACTAAATAAAACTCTTACTCAAATATCCCACATGATGCAATATAGAGGTAGACAGCAGTGTTTACACCCTGTCTTAAAAATAAAATAGAAGACATAGAGAAAAACACTGCTCTGTCTACTGAGAAGTTTGCATGGAGCATTTTTTATCAAGAGTATGGTATGAGCAGGATCTCTCCTGAGACAAAAAGATTTAAGGTATCGACACACCCATCACTGTGTGACATCAATGCAATGGAGATTCCAGTATAGTGAAATTTATATCTCCTCACCAAAAACATGAGTTTTATAAGGAAGAGCAAGCCACATGTTCCTTCTACTATCTGTGCTTTCTAGAGTGCTGAAATATTTAATACTAGGATTCAAGACAGTGAGTTTCTTCTACATTTGGCTCAGTGACATAAGCCAAAATTTCATGTACTTCCATGATCACTATCATAAACCTGGCTTTGAAAAACTGACTAAAACTGACATGCAATCTATGAGGAACATGAAGCCTTCCTTCCTCACTAATATAAGGACACAAGTCCATCCTCTACAGAAAATGGTAATCAATATAGTTCTCTGATAATCCATTACCATGGAATCTCTTACAGAATTACAGGTCTTAACCCCCTGAAAAACATGAACTCATAGGAATAACCAAGGGAGGCTGCAATGGGCCAAAGCTGTGCTACAGAGTTGAAAGATCTAAGGACTTAATCTTGAAAATCAGAGAAGATAATGAAAAACAAAAAAGGATGCCAGAAAACAAACACTTTAGTGATTTTGACAGGAATGGCCCCATAGGCTCACAGATTTAAATGCTTAGTCAGTAGGAAGTGGAACTATTAGGAAGTGTGACTTTGTTGGAGTAGCACTGGCCTTATTAGAGGAAATAAATCCCTGGGGATGGGCTCTGAGGTTTTCAGAAGCTCAAGTCAGGTCCTGTCTCTCTCTTGCTCCTGCCTGCGGATTCAGATGTAGAACTAAAACCCTTGGCTCCTTCTCCACTACCATGTCAGCCTCTACAACACCATGCTTCCTGGCATGACAATAAAGGACCAAATCTTGGAACCTATCCACCAGTCCCAATAAAAGATGCAGTGGGTGCCAGGGGGTGGTGGCGCACGCCTTTAATCCCAGCACTCGGGAGGCAGAGGCAGGCGGATCTCTGTGAGTTTGAGGCCAGCCTGATCTACAGAGCAAGTTCCAGGACAGGCTCCAAAGCTACAGAAAACCCTGTCTCGAAAAACCAAAAAAAAAAAAAAAAAAAAAAAAAAAAAAAAGATGCTGTGGTCATGGTGTCTCCTCATAACAACAGAAACCCTAAGACAGATTACATTATCAGAGGAAGAGAAACAAAGACTCACACATTTTCAATTATAAAAACAGTTTTCAAAGAAATGTGGACATGGCACTGACCTGGTGTGCACTGACGGGACAATCCTCCATTCTTCCTGTTACTCTTTTTCTGAGTTTCTGTCTCAGGAACAAACACCAGAACTCTTCTTGACATTTCACATCAAAGTATCAAAAATAGAAAGCTAAAATTAATACAATGTTACAGACAGTGCTAAAACACATCAGAACACCCAAACCCAAAATGATACTAAAGGTCTTCTTAACATTCCACCAGACAGGGGAGCACTAGAGCATGTATGTTGAGTGGTGGAAGATTATCACTGTACCCAGAAGCATGGGCTCTTAAAGTTGATGGGCAAGAAGTTCACTTGAAGAAAAGTATGAAATAACAGAAGTTATGAACATCAAATATGCTTTACTTCTATTGCATGAATTTTGAAGATAAAAATCAGGACATTTAGCTGACCTGAACAAGGGGGAGCTCTTGGACCCCAGACTGACAGCTGGGAGGACAGCATGGGACTGATCCTGACCCCCTGAATGTGAGTGTCAGTGAGGAGGCCTAAGCAATCTATGGGGCCTTGGGTAGTTAGTATGTATCCCTGGCATACAAATGGACTTTGAGTGCCCATCCCACAATGAGGGATGCTCTCTCAGTCTGGACTCTTTGGGGGAGGGCCTACACCCTGCCCTGGATGAAATGACAGACTCTGGAGATCCCCCATGGAGGGCCTCACCACCCTGGGGACGGAGGTGGGGACTGGTATGGGGGCTGGGGAGCTTGGGGAGGGGAGGGGATGGAGAGAGAGCTGGGATTGACATGTGAAGCAAGCTTGTTTCTAATTTAAATAAAAAAAGAAAAACAACAAAAAAAGATAAAAAAAATCAGGACATTTTCACTTGGAGTGTCACTTGGTAACTTTTGCCTTTAACATTCAGGTTGAGTACTATTGTTACTTCTATCAGAAAAGAAACATTAAAAAAATCCTGTTTTAGTCCCAGGTGCTGTTTCAATTTCCCCAATATTTAATATGGGAAAGAATGTGTCCCATGATTTAATTCTGTCCACGACTTCAACTGAAAAAATACGTTTTTGACTTCATGGAGAATGGGCAAGAAGTCATTGTGGAGTGGAATAACAAGTGGTTTCACATGCGTGCACCATGACGTTCCCTGTCCAGGGCCTCATATTAAAAATCTGGAACTGCTATTTCTCCAAACACATATGCTTCTGAACAGATATATTTTTGCACCTCAGTGGCTTCTATTCAAAGGGTCCATGCAAGAATATCAGAGTCCCCAGACACCCACAGGTCACTAGCACTTGTTTGAGTGTGAACTGTATACAGAATGTGGAAAGGAGACCACAGTAGACTAGACAAATCTTCCCTAGGACAGTTCCTCAAAGGCTGCCTCATCTCCCATACCTATCCTACTATTCTCAAATCTAAGTGCTGTAACAATGGCCATCTACTTTCCAATTATCTTCCCCTACACTTTAACAAAAACACAGGCTTGGAAAACGTAATCCTTAGGAATACTTATCCATATTCTGAAGTCAGGAGAATATAGAATGATATATCAAGAGCCATGGGATAAAATAACTGTCAACCATATGTTATACTCAGGAAAAATGTCTGCTAGGATTGATGGAAAAAGGGAATACATTCTAAAGTAAACGCAAATTAACACAGGGTTTTCAATCAATTATGTCATTAGATGGAACTAGGAAAAATATGCACAAAAGAATCAACCATGAATTATCCCAGGGACACAGGAAAGAATAAAGTTCATGCGAGGAATAAAGGAGAGGAGCGCTAGAAAGAAACCTACTATGTACAACACAGAAAAATACCAATGATCACAGCAATACCATAGTCTGGGTCAGAGAAGCTTTGTATACAATGGGCAACAGTTATTTTGGAGACTTGTAACTGTCACACACAGAGAATGAGCTACGGGTGACTACACAGCCATGAAGAAGACATCCATGAACCTGGTTCAAATCTCGGAGATCATAACAGAAGAGGGGACAAAGTATGTAAGCAGAAGAATAAGGAGGTCAGCTATGAAAAGAAACACAGTGAATGCTATTCACAAAAACAGTCAGGAGAAAACCAAGGCAGCAGAAAGACCCTAATTGCACAGAGCAATCCCAGCAAGTATCATTAGTTATTCCAGCTGTAAATGCCCATGACAGGCCAAAGCCACAGAAGCAACAGAACTTGCAAACAGCACAAGAATAGAGGCACGGACCAATGCAATAGAGAAGCAGATCAATCCGGAACCAATGCAATAGAGAAGCACATCAATCCAGAACCAATGCAATAGAGAAACAGATCAATCCAGAACCAGAGCAACAACCATGTGGATATCACCAAGACAAATCCCACGAATACACACACTCACACACGTTGTCTCCTAGATAGCCTTGTCAACCAATGATGATGGGAAAAGTAATTACCCAGATAGAAAATATGATCCTGGGTCCGACAGTCTCTCACTATGAAATGAATCACAGGTGTTCATGCATGAGCTGGAAGAGTGGATGCACGCAATAAAAATATGCATGTGCAATATACAAATCAAAAGTTTGAAGAATGATGGAAGCAGAGGCAGACACCCACAGCTAAACACTGAGTGATCACCTGGAATCCAGTTGCAGAGAGGGAGGAGTGATGAGCAAAGGGGTCAAAACCAGGCTGGAGAAACAGCTGACCTGAACAAGGGGGAGCTCATGGACCCCAGACTGATAGCTGGGAAATCAGCACAGGACTGACTCAGACCCCCTGAATGTGGGTGTCAGTGAGGAGGCCTGGGCAATCTATGGGGCCTCTGGTAGTAGTGGATCAGTATTTATCCCTAGTATACGAATGGACATTGGGAGCACATTCCACATAGACAGGTACTATCTCACCTAGATACATGGGAGATGGCCTAGGCCCTGCTCCAAATGATATGACAGATTTTGAAGATCCCTCATGAAAGGCAGGTAAGGAGGGGAGGGAGAAGGAATTGAGATTGACATGCAAAGCAAGCTTGTTTCAAATTTAAGGACAAAAAAGTTTGAAGAACCAGCCTATAGTACAAATACATTTATCCCTCAATGTCCTAGAACTCACTCTGTAGACCTGTCTGGTCTAGGTAGTATCATGAGAGGATACTACCTAGAATATAACAAAATCATAAAGGAAAGAAATAAAAATCATTTAAAGGATAAAGCAAATAATTTAATAGATCATGCTAACAAGCAATGACAGCTAGACGGTGTTGGTGCATGTCTTTATTTTCAGCACTCGGGAAGCAGAGGCACGCAGGTCTCTCTGAGTTTGAGACCAGACAGGTCTATAGAGTGAGTTCCAGGACATCGAGGGATACACACCGAAATCCTGTCTCAAAAAACCAAAAACCAATAAGTAAATAAATAAATAAAATAATAATATTCATAACAAAGCAGGTACAATGGACCCTAAGTAGACATATAAAACGCTGCACCCTGTTAGTCAGGAACAAATGCTCACCAATATGCCCTGAGATGCCCTCTCTACCTACTCAGTGTCCACACTCAAGATTTCAATAAAACGAATCTTGCAAACAAAGCAAAAGAAAGACCCTCTAGACATACTGTCAGCAGGGATCCAACTTACTGCAGCACCATACAGGTCAGTGTACCGGCTGAAGTGATGGCTCAGAGATTTAAGAGCACTAACTACTTTTCTAGAGGTCCTGAGTTCAATTCCCAGCAACCACATGGTGACTCACAACCAACTATAATGAGATCGGCTGCCTTCTTCTGGTATTCAAGCACACATAATGAATGCATAAAATCTAAAAACGACAGACTAGTCACTGTACAGCTTCTTCAACAACCAAGTAAGCAAAAATATTCACATAAGAATCAACTTTAGAGCCCCGTTGGAGGCCCTTGACAGGGGCATGTCACCCCTTCCTGTCCACCAAATCCCCAGAGTCCTGGGGGCAGTCTCAAACCATGCGGGGCTGCATCTGCTGCCATGGGAGCCTTGGCCCTGCTTCCACCAGGACAGAAAGCTCAGAGAGCTGAGGACACATGCCCCATACCGCAAACCATCTAGGGCCGCATCTGCCGCCACCACAGCCTTGGCTCTGCCTCCACCGGGAGAGGAAGATCAACCACCAAAGCCACAGGCCCCACCTACACCAATTGGAGGAAAAGTGATTCCCTGAATCACAGGCCCCAGCTGCACCCCCTGGAGGAAGAGATGGGAAGATGACAACATATAAGAACACATTTAACAAAATGAAGAGTCATATGACACTACTTTGCATGGAGATGGTAATAACTAAAAGTATGAAGAGACGGTCTACAGGGTGTATATATTACTAGCAAACATTTCATAGTACGATACACAAAATACCCAGAATTTACCAAAATTGAAAGAGGAAAAATATCAAAAAGCAAATAAATAGTATTGTAATCAATAATAAGCAAATGAACAGAACACACCATGCTCAAAAGCAGTTAAAGCAGCCAAAAGGTACACAGTACATGCTCCACACATTTCGTCATGAGGAAAAGTGCTCACCTAGTGTTGCACTGAGATCTCCTCTCTGCCTAGTCAGTGTCAACACTCAAGGTCCTTAGCAATAGCAAACAGAAAACAATACAAAAGGAAGAACACAGACAGCATGCGGCTTCTTGAACAACCAAATAAGAAAAAAGAAAACATAGAGGACACGCTAATCAAGTGGTTTTTTTTTTTTTTTTTTTTTTTTGGTTTTTACGAGACAGGGTTTCTCTGTATTGTTTTCGAGGCTGTCGGTCCAGCCCAGCCTCGAACTCACAGGGATCCGCCTGCCTCTGCCTCCCGAGTGCTGGGATTAAAGGCGTGCGCCACCACTGCCTGGTGCTAATCAAGTGTATTAAGGAACTGAATATGCTGCAGGATAGTGACAATAGAGAAAGCAATGTAGACAGAGGAAAAGAGACATAAGAAATAGACAAAAACGAACAAAGTGGATGAGTTTATATTTTCCCAGGGACTTTTTGAAATGCATAAGAATAATGTTGTCTAAATCAAACACGAAAATAGTAGACAGCTTCAAAAAAGGACAGTCTAATATCAAAACACGAAATTTCAATGAAAGTTTTATACTTCAAAAGGCAGGATATGAAGTGCCAAGAGTGAGGAAATATTCTTTTTAAAGATCTGCTGTGAAGAGGGTTGGTCATAATTATGGGAGGCAAGAGAAAAAGCCAAGTCTATCAACACACAAAACAAAGAGTATTAACAAATGGTTCATTTGCCAGAAAGCTATCTGATTAATAGGAGTGCATTTCACAACACAGCTCCCAAATACATGAAGCAGTCAATGACACAACTGTAGGAAGTAAATAGACAGTGATGGATGGAAGCTTCAATGTCCATCACTAAGACAACCGTGAACAGCACAGAAAACTAATAATGTCTAGCAGGCCTGCAGAGAATCATCCACACGAGAGCAGATGACACCCAGTCTTCTCAATCTTAACGCAGCATGCTACAGTGTGCGCATGTCAGAAGAAGTCAGTATGGCCTGGTGGCGCAAGCCTTTAATCCCAGCACTTAGAGGCTGGGGTGGGTGGATCTCTGAGTTCAAAGCAAGCCTGGTCTACCCAGAGTTCCAGAATAGCCAGGAATAAACATCAAGTGTCTCAAAAACTAAAAAACCAAAAGAAAGGAAGGAAAACCAAACAAGTCAAGACCAATGTTTAAAAAGTGTCTTCTCCACAAACTCAGAATTTTGACATCAATAGGAGACAGAATATATAATGAACTCTGAATAAGATATATATATATTTATTTAATATATATGAAGTAATATGTGTTTAACATGTAATTATGTTTAATACATAAATATATAATATATTTAACATTTAGCTATATTTTAAATATACAATAATATAATTAATCTATTACATGCGAATACTGACTCCCTGCTAGTATGGTCTCATTCAAATGAGTAAAGAAATATAAAAGGGTGTTTCTAAGACTCTAAATAGCAAAATCCTACAAGGATTTTTTTTTTTTTTTTGGTTTTACGAGACAGGGTTTCTCAGTATTATTTGAGGCTGTCGTCGGTCTAGCCTGGCCTCGAACTCACAGAGATCCGCCTGCCTCTGCCTCCCGAGTGCTGGGATTAAAGGTGTGTGCCACCAACGCCCAGCAAAATGCTACAAATTTTAAGAGCAGAAAAATCCCAAAAGGCATCAACTGTTCTAACTAAACATTATATTAAAATTAAGCTAATGAAAACGTTTAATACTGATAAGAACACATGATCAGTAATGCGAAGGAGAGATGGACAGCATCACTCACATGAAAAACCAAATTAAGTTATATTTGCCTCTGAGTATTAATTCTTACATAGAGAGTCTCTAATACCTAAGGTAGGAATATTCTGAGATTATTTGAAGTGGAATTCTCTAGAATCATTCTGAATGAAATAGAATCTGGCGAAACCAATTTCATGCCATGTTTCTACTGTCACCTGAGTCCTTACCTACTCCTTCCTCAGTCCCTCTAGCGTACCTGAATCCTCTGCTGCTGTCTCCTCTCTCTTCACCATCCAGGGCTCGTTCTTCTGCTTCACAGGTGAGTAGGACTCCCCGAGCAATGTGAGAGTGCGTAGGAGAAAGAGATTCTTCAGCAATCACCTGGCACTTCTCATGGAACAAAAACGGAAGACGCTAATACCTGTGAAAAGGATAAACATGAAGGAGAGAGGAAATATCAGGAAAAACATCTCTCTTTCTCTGAGGAATTGACTGTACTCTGTGAGATGTGAGGCTCATTCACTCCCAGCTCACACACATGCAGAGTAGTTTTCCCAGGAACCGTGAGCAGGAGCAAGGGAGACTGCAAAATAACTATTGTCACCCCCCCAGAATCCAAACTGCCGCAGTTCTGCAAAAGCTCTGGAGCTAGATCCCGGCATTCTCACTCCTCCTACAAGAAGCCCATGGTCACAGTTCTGAATGTCAACAAACCCTGAAATAAAACCCAATAGTCTTGCCATGTGTGCATGGGCAGAGAGCTTTTCTTTAACCAAGGAAACATTTTTTCTGACACAGGTGAGCGGTTGTAATTATTCAGAATACGGTTTCTAGAATTTTTATGTCATGAGTTTGCTAACTATAAAATATCGAGGCCTGATAGACTCTCACAGAATTGCCCAGCACTTTCTTGCCTGGGCCTAAGATGTAACATGAGACACATTTCTGAATGTTGCATTTGCATCCTAGATAGCATACATCTCTGGAAAATTAATGGGCAGCAAGAACGTTGCTTAGTACATGTTAATGTTTGCAGCCCTATCTGTGGGACTTCATAAAACGCATTTTCTGTTTAATCATATCTGCACCGGTTCCTCGTGTGATTACTAGCTACGAAGATCTCCGGGATGTCTACTTTCAGGGACAAAGGCATGAGGTAAAACAGGGGAGTTAGAAAGCATGGATGATTTTAAACTCCAGGGGCTTTGGAACTGCCACAACAGCAAAGAGAAGCAACCGGGTTTGCAAACACTGCAAATGCTCTACCAGATTATGTTAGGAATTACTTCATGACAGAAGAGTCTGACATTCATAAGCGGAAAAAAAATCACGGTAAGACCCACTCCATAGGATTTTAAACTCGCCGACAACGGAACGATATCCACGACAGAATTTTGAAAGCCCTGTCCTTGTGAGCATCCTCAGCGGGCACAGCCCCGCCCCTCCCTCCCGGGTCCCAGCCCCGCGGCTCCTCTGACCTGGGAGGTTCCAGGGCCGCCGGGCTGCGGTTCCCGCCACTGTGCTGCTGCTGACGCTGACTTTCCCAGGCCGCCCGCCCCGCGCGGACACTGCGGCTCCGGAGTCTCCAGGTCCCCGCGGCGCCCGCCGTGTCCCCCGCACCCGGGTCTGCAGCGAGGTGCTCCAGGGGTCCGACGGTGAATGGTGGCACTTCCGGTAGCTTCAGCCTGGTTCCCTGGTGCAGCTCCTCCCGATCCCGCCCACCACACCCCACTTCCTGTTTCCTGTTTCCTCCAAACCCTCAGATCTTGGGCTGTTTTACCAACGTCTACCCTGCTGCTACCCCCCTTCGCCCCATAAACTATTCTGATTGACAGGTGTCCCCACCCCATCGGGGATCCGCCCCTCCCACTCGGTCTCCCCCGCCTTGCCCAAGGCTGCAGCTGTCAGGCTGCCCTGGACCCGCTCTGCACAGACTCCACACACGCTTGCTGCAGCCTAGACCAGAGCTGCATCCGGGAGGACGCTGCACCCCGGGATCTGACCTCAAAAGTGAGTTCCGAAACCTTGGGAGACAAGTTATCCTGTGACGTGAGCAAGAAGGTAGATGCTCGTAGTTAGCACGACTAAGGTTATATTTTATTATGCTGTCTTCACTCGAGGTTCACACTCAAGGCTGCTCACCTGTGGGACTTAGCTGAAGGACAGGTCCAGTCTCTAACACAAGTCTCTGATTCGACGGTGAGGATCCTAGGGAGACTCCAGACGCTGGGCAGATCAAGGTGGCCTCTCTCCAGATGTGCAGAGCAGAGCATTGCTCTTGATCTTTGCTTAAATACTGTCCAGTGGGCACCGTGGATTCTAGGACTGTGTCTGGTTATCTTGAGGGATGTCACTAAGTTCTGGTTGTCAGGTGCAGCCTTGCGTGTAGGGGGGATCTTGACTAAACTGTTTTTCCATGTCTAAAAGGCATCTTTTTTTATTACTATTCTCATTACGTCCTGCCTAACTTCTCAACTTAGAATACCAGCCTACTGGGTAAAAATACACAGCAAAACCCAGCAAACACCCGAAGTTCTTAGGCCAGGTCCCATTCCCCAACAAATTAAAGCTAAGATAAAATGCCTTTGTCTCAAAGCACAAACGTTACCTGTACCCCCTAAGGAGAAAAAGTTGAATGCTATCCAATACACAGAACTCAAAAATCAGAGTCATGTTTAGGATGATCAAACATGTAAAGCATAAAATGTCATTCTCCGGGCTACACATAACTCATAATCAGTAAATCAGAGCAACTGTACTCACCTGCATCGGGCCCACTCAAGACCAGCCCGAGCTACAATCAGTTTAGGAACTAGAGAGGTTCACAGGGCCCCATGCGTTACCTCTCAACTGTGACCATGAGTAGACTTAGGGGAGGAGAAGGAAAATCACTGTGTTTACTTGTGTCTTTTCTGATGAGGCCAACAGCTCCAACACATAGCTCCGAACCCACTGTTTCACAGAAGGGCACAATTCATCTTTGTGCATCAGTAAAATGAATAGAAATGAACATGAGAGAGAGAGAGAGAGAGAGAGAGAGAGAGAGAGAGAGAGAGAGAGAGAGAGAGAGAGAGAGAGAGAGAGAAGAGAGAGAGAAAGAGAGAGGAGACAGAGGGCCAGGACGGTAGGGAGTAAGGGATTAGAATGTGCACTAAGCAAGGTATATTATGTGGAATGGCAAAAAGGTAATAATAAAAGTTAAGGATTTTCATTTTTCCTCTATCTGGTTTGATATCAGGCACTGCTGAGTTTATAAAGAATCTGGAAGTCTTGCACTCACTTTACATCAAGGAATATGTTAAGTGGCTCCTCTGAAATTCTGACATAATCCTGTGCCAAATCACACCATTAGCTTCTAGGCCTTTCTTTTTAATCAGGATACATGCATCCCTGCTTCATTTTGCTGCTGCTTCTAAATCTCTTGAATTAGCTTATGTTTGTGTAATTGCGGTGTGTGGTATGAATGAGGAGATTTGATCATTTCCTTTAGAGTTCCTAATTTAGTTCCTTCCGTCTTTAGGGTCAGTAGACATCACAAATGCTTGCACACTCGTGTCTGCTCATTAGGCTGTGAAGTCATTTATATTCGTGCCTGGAATAAATATGTTAGTGATTAACTCCATGTGACAAGTAATCCTAGCTAAGACAAGAAAATAAATGAAAGCATTTTTCCTTAGAGTCATTTAACTAAAAGCAAGTCCAGGTTTGAATTCTCTACTTGAAATTTCCTGTCCATTTCATTCCCTTTCTCTCTGTCCCATGAGTTTGAGTCTGTATCTTCCTGAAAGATGTCTTATAAATCTATCCCTGTGTGTCTGTCTGATGTCTCTCTTTATCTCTCTGTCTGTGTATCTATCTGTATGTATCTGCCTGTCCATAACTAAGTTTTTGTTCTCTGATTTATTGAATAACATAGAAAGCATCATGTGGGGTATTGTGAGAAATCCTTAACAGACATTGGAATTATGGATGGTTACAAGCCAACGCATGGGTGCTATGATCTAACTTCTGGTCCTCTGCAAGAGCATAAAGTGTTTTCGTTGTTGAGCCATCCCATCCTCCACCCCCCAGGTAACATTTAAAAAAAAAGGAGTTTTAAAGGTTTGCATCGTCTCCCTGAGCGCGGGGGTGGTGGGGTGACACACACCTTTAATCCCTGATATCGGGAGGCAGAGGCAGGTGGATCTCTGTGAGTTCAATGCCAGCCTGGTCTACAGAGCGAGTTACACGACAGCCAAGGCTACACAGAGAAACCCTGTGTCGATGCCAGCCCCTGATCCAGGCATACCAATTGCGGGAGCTCAAATATCAATAAAATTGATTGCCAGCAACCGTGTGAGTGGAATAGCAAGCTGAGATACCACATCCTCAGTCACAATCACTAAAGAGGGAGAATAAGGTGGCCTGAGGCTCTCATTTTTTCTCAGAGACTGACTTGGACACCATACTTTATCCATGAATGTTCCAACAACTAAACTTCCAGAATGTTGTGAACAACCGGGGACGTAAGTTCAAGTATATAAGCCAATGGGGGACATTCTCTCCAAACCAATGCAATCAGCCTCCTAATATTCATGTCCTAGTTGTTCTGCAAGACACCTTTTAGAGGATTTTAAATCGGTGTAGAATATACACCTATAATCCTTTTTAAAATTTATTTTTATTTTATGTGCATTGGTATTTTTCCATGGGTGTTGGCTCCCTTGGAACTGGAGTTACAGACAGTTGTGAACTTCCATGTTGGTGCTGACCCTTATTTTCTTGCTTGGATTTTCTGTTTGTTTGTGTCTTTCTGGCAGAGGGTCTCACTCAATAGCCCTGACTGATCTGTAACCCGATATGGAGAGCAGGCTGGCTTCCAACTCACATGGATCTGGACACCTCTGCCTCCTGAGTGCTGAGACTAAAGACCTATCCCACTGGACCAGACTGGAATTTCACTTTTATTTTTTAACATTGCTGCTGGAGCCGGGCGGTGGTGGCGCACGCCTTTAATCCCAGCACTCAGGAGGCAGAGGCAGGCGGATCTCTGTGAGTTCGAGGCCGGGCTGGACTGATAGCCTCCAAAACAATACAGAGAAACCCTGTCTTGTAAAAAACAAAAAAACAAAAAAAAAAAAAAACATTGCTGCTGGAATGCAGCAAGAATTTAGTTTATTTGTTTGACATATACATATATATGTATATATGTATGCATATATATATTTTTTTTTTGAGTAATCCAGCTCCTTAGCCTTGTATTGAAACTCTGATGTTTGCCTGTATCCTGGTGGATAGGCTCTATTGAGTTGTATTAGGCTTGCAGAGTTCTTCATTTCTCGTTTCATTACTTCAGGGATTCACGTCTCACTTCACTACTTTAGGAATTCCTTGATGTCTCTCTCTAGATTTCAATGTTTGCATCCTGCATTATCTTCCTTATTTCCTGACCCATTTGCTGGAGTTCCTTGCCTTTCAGTCAGTTTGTTCCTGTCCTCTTTGAATTCACGTTCCTGTTTCTTCTTTATGTCCCTTGACTTCGTTGAAATGACTTTGAATTGTGTCTTGAGCTCTGTATCTTGAGTTTCATTCAAATTGCATTCCTTAGGCAGCACTGGCATTACACGGGTGAGCTACAGGTAAAGGATTTCTCACATCCATTGCATGTGTAAAGCTTCTCTTCTGTATGAATTATCTGATGTATCCTAAGATGATGTTTCTGGATAAAGTCTTTGCAACATTCATTACATTTGTAATTCTTCTCTCCCGTTGGAATCTTCTGATGCTTTCTAATTCGTGAGCAACAAATGAAGGATTTAGGCATAATCAGTAAATTTGTAAGATTCTCTCTAGCATGAGTTCTGTCATGTCTTTTAAAGTATGATGAATGGCAAAAGCACTTACCACATTCTGTACATTTGTCAAGTTTTTTTCCCCACAATGCATGTTGTTATATACTTTGAGTTGTGGCAAATGCAAAAAAGGCTACTACATTCTATACATTTATTAGGTTTCTCCTCTGTGGGTTCCTTTATGTCTGCTGAGGTTTGAGTATATCATTGTCTACATTTCTGGCATTGCTGTGATTTCTTTTATTTCAGTGTGGGTTTATGTTTAAAGTGAAAAGATTTAATATTCTCTGTATTTTTGTGTTTTTCTTTTCTGTTGTGGATTTGTAGGGTTTGACTAAGGCTAGAACACAAATTTAAACATTTTACACAGTCATTGAATTTGAAAAGTTCTTGTCTAATGTTCCCACATTTATGGCTGTTTACATTTTATATTCATTGGAAACATCTTTGTGGTTTCAATCTGTACTGGTTACAGTTTTCTGCAGTAGGACTTGTGTTATAAAGTGTACACGCGAGGATTCATGAGTCGTTTTGTCAAGCTCATTACATTCATAAGATTTCTCTTAGATACTCGCATGTTCATGCACAATATGTTTTGAATTGCAATCCAGTACTTTCTTATATTTAACACACATTTGATTGTTGCCTTAAGACAGATGTTTCTATCCCACATGGTCCCATAGCCCTTTAGTGCCATATAAGTACACAGAGGCTTATATTAATTATAAACTGCTTCACCAATGTCTCAGGCTTCTTATTGGCTAGTTCTCTCTTAATTATTAAGCCGTTTCTATAAACTGTGTATCTCCATGTGGTCTTTGCTTACCCAAGAATGTCCGGGCCTCTTTCTTCCTCAGAAGCTACATGGCGTCTCCCTGGCAACTAGCTCTCTGAGTTCTCCTAGTCTGGTAGCCCCACCTATACTTCCTGTGTGGCTACATCCTGCCTGTCCATTGGTCAAAACAGTTTAATTCATCCGATAAGAAAAACATTTCACAGCATACAGAAGGACATCCCCCATCAGTTAGCTGGAAGGTTAGCTCAGTTAAGGATGGTAGGGATTGATGCACGAGTAACAGGTTCAATAACTGATGCTTCCTTAAGAAAAGTAAGCTAGCAATTCTTAGGAATGAGTTCTTAGCAGAGGTCTTTTGTGTTTCACTATAATTAAATGTAAGCAGAAGGTCAATTAAATAGTTGATTGATCAATAATGAATTCTGAGAAAGGAGGTCTCTGAAGGATCATATGAAAGAAATTTCTCTTTTCTATTGTTCTGTATGGTTTTGAGACACAGTCATAATATGTAGCATTGGTCAGCTAAGTACTATGTAACTAGCCCAGGTGTCATGGAAATCATCATATACTCTTGCTTCGGCCTCGCTAATGCTATGATTAAAATTGTGCTGTGCCAGCATTATTATAGACACCACTTCTCAAAAAATAAATAACTAAACAAAAGCAACGACGTGCTCACAACCAAAAGCTCTTTCTCCAACTTAAAAGCGTTCCATTTTTAAAATCAGTAATAGTCTAGTCCAATAGAAAAAGAGAACATTCCAATTACTATATTTATTGCAATGCACATCCTTGTTCTGAATATTCAATTGTCTTTGAAATTTTCATTAAAAACTAGGTAAGTGGGCTGGAGAGATCGGGCAGTGTATAGCATTGGTTACTTTTCCAGAAAACGTAAAGGAAGAGCCATGAAAAAGATCATGCTTGCTCTTACAATCTCTGTGACTTCATGTGATCTTTGCCTAGTTGTTCTCTTGGTATACACCAGCCCCTATGGCTTTCACACTATTTCTACATCCTCTTTTGTGGTGTTCCCTGAGCTCTGAGGGGTTGGTATTTGATAGAGACCTCCAGTTAAGAGCTGTGTGTTCCAAAATCTGTCTGTGTGTATTGTCTTGCGGTGAGTCTCTGAATTTGCTCCTGCTGAAGGAGGAAGATTCTCTGATGGCTAAATAGGGCACAGATCAATGAGTTAGAAGAATATTATTGCAGTTGTTGTATTACTGTTTCTTTTTTTATTAGACCAGTAGTATTTGGTTTTATCATATTTCTGTGGTACCAGTCTCTGGTTCTTGGTCACATAAGCAGTGTAAGATATGGGTTCCATCTAGTAGACTGTGTGTTAAGTCAAATTGAACACTTGCTAGTTACTCCCAAACTCCAAAATCTTTGTGACACGATTGCCCTAGAACATTTTGCAGGTAGGACAGATTGTAGATCAAAGATGTGGTTAATTGTGACTGGCAGAGGCAGGCAGATCTCTGTGAGCTTGAAGCCAGCCTGGTCTACAGAGCGAGTTCCAGGACAGGCTCCAAAGCAATACAGAGAAACCCTGTCTCGAAAAACCAAATAATAATAATAATAATAAGTAATGAAAAATCTATTATTTATCTAGAATCTATAAAGAGACCTGGGGAATTCTGGAGTCTCTTTTCTCCAGGAGATCATCTTGGATAAATGTCTAAGCAATGTAACACATATGGTCCTTCTATTTCTCATTTCTTCAGAAAAATCTAGCCTGTTTTCCAGAGTGACTACTCTACTTTACATTTCCAAAATCATTGTATAATATTGTTCCTTTCCTTATATTCATGTCAGAATTTGTTATTTATCCTGGTTTTGACCATTCTGACAGGGGTGAGATAGAGTCTTAAAGGAGCTTTAGTCTGCATCTCCCTGATAACTATGATTACAATACTTTTTCCGGACACGACTTAAGAAATACCCAAGCTAACTGCATGGCCTAATCAGTATATGAGCATATTTTTTAAGCTATTAAAAGAAGCTTTTATTTTGGGAGGCAGAGGCAGGCGGATCTCTGTAAGTTCGAGGCCAGCCTGGTCTACAGAGTGAGTTCCAGAACAGCCCCCAAAGCCACAGAGAAACCCTGTCTCGAAAAACCAAAAAAAAAAAAAAAAAAAAAAAAAAGAAGAAGCTTTTATTTATTTTGTGGTATGTGCATTACAGGAAACAAAACACAAGACGCTAAGAACAGTCTCCCAGTCACAAGCAGCTCAGCTTGATGCGTCCTTCTAGATGCTTCGAGTGTACATACATTTAGGGAATTGAGATTACGCAGTATGTACCAAGGTTTCCCCCACATTGTGAATATTCACCAACTAAAAATTCCCATGCCACGTGAGTATTTTGTTAACCAAGAATATACCATACCATCTCAATCTGTCAGACAAAACTGTAATCCTGTCTTCCTTGGCAACAAGAATTGCATAGAATCTTAATTGTAACTTCGTCAGTACTAGAAGTCTAGAAGCCTGCTGCCATTTTTGTCTTCTATGAGCATATCTTGTAAAGATCTCTAGCCAACAACTTGGAAACTCTAAAAGAAATGAACAACTCCTGATTCAGACCAATTAACAATATTATACCAACAAGAAATTAAAAAAACACATTATTAAGCAGTAACTACAACAGTGAAGCAGCAATAAATGAACACCCATTTTTTAAAAAGCCCTGAGGCCAGGCAGTGGTGGCCTACAACTTTAATCCCAGCACTTGGGAGACAGAGGTAAGCAGATCTCTGAGTTCGATGCCAGCCTGGTCTGCTGGGGGAGTTCTAGGACAGCCAAGGCTGCTTAAAGGATCCCTGTCTTGAAAATTAAAAAAAAAAAAAGAAAGAAAGAAGAGAGAGAGAGAAAAAAGAATAGGGCGGAAGCAAATTGATTCATCACAGAATTCTATCAGAATTTCAGAGAATAACTGATATTGAAGCTACTTAAAGAACGAAGCAAGGCTTCCGGACTCTTTATGAAGCTAGTATTACCTATTCCAAACCAAATAAAGGCACAAAATCGGAAGTACAGACTGGAGTAGTGATTTACAATTTTTTATTTTTCTTATTTTGCCATTTCACAAGATAGCACGCACACACAACCCTTGCTTCCCACAATCCTGGTCCATAGTGCCAACAAACCTCTGGCCTTCCCTCCCTCCCTCCCTTTCTCCCTCCTTTTCTTTATCTCTCTCCCTTATTCCCTACCTCTTTCTCATGTTCGTTTCTATTAATTTTGGGTTTTGATCCACCAAGATTAATCACGGCCATCTGTGAGACTGTGGGTTTGGTGATATGTTAGGGAGCTGGTGAGCTCAGCAGACGAGACACAACTAAACACAGTGATTCCCTTCTCCTAAAACTATCCACGATCACAGCTGAGAGGCAGAGAGTGGGGCCCTGTGAGCCTCTCCCCTCCCTAGACTGATTGTGGCTAGAGCTGGTCTTGAGTGAGCCCAGTCAGGTGACTACGGTTCTTCTGGGTTACTGATTCCTATAGTTGTGTGGAGTCTGCTGAAATGACTGTTTGCCCTCTTCACCTTATTTCATAACCACCTCTGCCACACCAAATCCAGTAGATTCTGTGTGACGAGTTCCACAGACTGAGGCGATAGCTTCAAAAGAAGGAGGTCTCCTGGAAACGGTTGTGGAACTCTCAGCCGGAGAAAAATACTGAGCCGTAGTTCTCATGGAAATTTCGGTTCTTCTATTCTTTTCCCATATTAACAAAATGTTCCTGAAAGCCTACGTTGACATTTCAAACAAAAGAAATAAGTGAGAAACCTTCCCCTGAGATGTGGTCACTGACCGTGACCTTGTCTCTAGGAAAACCAGCAGCTTTTCGAATTATTCACGTCATTCACGTAAGTACAAATAGTGTTGATAAAAAACTTTCCCAACAAAATTTCATCTAACTGAACATGTGAAATCAAGAGTGAATTTAAATGTTTGGTAAAAAAAGTTTTTAATAAGAAAAAGTCAAAATAGCTCCATATTTCAAAGACTCACAAGAACTGTGTAACAGATATCAGACAATTGTGAACTAGGTAACAGATGTCAAACAATAACTGACCATAAACATTTATTAACCTGATCTTACAAATAGGCGGTTAGCTGCAGTTAGCCTTGAATGATTTTATGACTTATTGTTTTGAGTAGCCTTGGATAAGTTGTGTGTCTCTGTGCCTAGTAACGATGATGCCATCTGGATATTGTTTCACTGAACACAAACTCTGAGAAGACATTTCTTTTATTATAAAAGGCCTTGCTTGAAAGCTGCAAAATACACTCAAGATTCAAACTGCCTCTGTGTTTGTTTCTGTTTGTCACCACCGAATCCTTACCCACCTAGTCTTCAAGAACCCTCATCCCAGGGACCCCCATACCTGGCTGGGGTGGTCGGTAGCAATCCTCTCCTCAATATTCCCAGAGCCACAGATGGCATGGTGTAACTGACTTGTTCAGGGCTGTGGCCAAGTACAGCTTATTTTCTGATTTTTTTTTTTTTTTGGTTTTTACGAGACAGGGTTTCTCTGTATTGTTTTGGAGGCTGTCAGTCCAGCCTGACCTCGAACTCACAGAGATCCGCCTGCCTCTGCCTCCCGAGTGCTGGGATTAAAGGCGTGCGCCACCACCGCCCGGCTATTTTCTGAATCTTGGACAGCCAAAAGTTTCTGCATTCACCAAAATTAAATTTGCTGTGCCTCGTTAGCATGCTTCCCAGAAGGCAAACTTGTTTCTGTGTCAGGAACATCACAATTTCACCGCCTAGTGCAGAACAGCACAGGATGAATTCAGCACTAGGCTGTTGCTGGACTGACTGACCGCTGACTCCTGAGACACCCATTTTCTTTCCAAATCCCAAATTCCTGAAATGCCCTCCCCCGGGACAATATTGCTAATAGTGTAGATCTGGATGTTTGACTGGCAATATTGGAGGTCTGTAAAGGAAGAATGAAGATACTCTTTAGAGTGACTGCATCTGCATAGTGACGGAAATGATTATCCGCCTTCCCACGATAGCTCTCCAGAGTGAGTTACTCTGTCCTAAGTTTCAATAGTTCATATAGGAGTAGACCATGCCCCTGGAACTTCACTTTTATGGTTAAGTAGTGCTACTTGCATGGAGCATTTTCTTTTCATTTGTTTTCTTTGACACAGCCACTCAGCATCTCTATCGTGTCTCCATGTCTCTTATGTGGTCGCTTTGAGTTATTATTATGCTTATTGCATTTTTCACATTTTGTTTCATTTCAGTTTGGCTGTTTTCAGTGTTTCAAACTACTCATTGTATTCATATTTCCTTCAGGCATTTGTTGCCCGCGGATCATTTTGCTTCTGTTTTTGAGTTGACTCACATGTTTTACATGCTTGACCATCTTGACCATGACTTAGGTTTTTGAGTTCTGTATATCGCATATCATTTAAATTTTCTCTCCTTAGGGGTTTAGAGGTTTGGTTTTTGTATTGAGCCAAGGGCATTTTTACCTTTATTTTAATTTGTATTGAAAATTTATAGAGTGTCCTTTGTCTTTTGCTGTATGTTTTTAACCCCGGAGGCTGGTATCCCAAGATGAGAAGTTAGGCAGGAAAACTTGTCTCTGAAGGTTTCATAACTCAATGTGGGGTGCAGCTCTGGTCTAGGCTGCAGCAAGCGTGTGTGGAGTCTGTGCAGAGCTGGTCCAGGGCAGCCTGACAGCTGGAGCTAAGGGGAAGGCGGCGGGAGACCGAGTGGGAGGGGCGGGTCCCCAAAGAAAACAGCTGGATGGATTTAGGAAATAATTAACAAATGGAGGGCGCAGTAGCCGGGTTTAGAACAAACACGTAACCGTAAGCGGGAGTATTAGGCGGGGCCCAGAAGGAAATACTCCAGGAACCACGCTGAAAAAACCGGGAATGCGACCATTCCCTGTTGGACTCCGGCAACCGCGCGCTGCAGACCCGGGTGCGGGGGACACGGCGGGCGCCGCGGGGACCTGGAGACTCCGGAGCCGCAGTGTCTGCGCGGGGCGGACGGCCTGGGAAAGTCAGCGTCAGCAGCAGCGCAGTGGCGGGAACCGCAGCCCGGCGGCCCTGGAACCTCCCAGGTCAGAGGAGCCGCGGGGCTGGGACCCGGGAGGGAGGGGCGGGGCTGTGCCCGCTGAGCTGCTCACAAGGACAGGGCTTTCAAAATTCTGTCGTGGATATCGTTCCGTTGTCGGCGAGTTTGAAATCCTATGGAGTGGGTCTTACCGTGATTTTTTTTTCACTTATGAATGTCAGACTCTTCTGTCATGAAGTAATTCCTAACATAATCTGGTAGAGCATTTGCAGTGTCTGTTGCTTGCAAACCGGGTTGGTTCTCTTTGCTATCGTGACAGTTCCAAAGCTCCTGAAGTTTAAAATCATCCATACTTTTTGTTTTGTTTTGTTTTTGTTTTTTGTTTCTTGTTTTTCGAGACAGGGTTTCTCTGTATTATTTTGGAGCCTGTCCTGGAACTCGCTCTGTAGACCATGCTGGCCTGGAACTCACGGAGATCCTCCTGCCTCTGCCTCCCCAGTGCTGGGATTAAAGGCGTGCTCCACCAACGCCCGGCTCTATTTTATAAATTTTAATAAGATTTTCTCAGGTTATGTACAAGAATGCTTCTCAGATCTTGGTGCAAATTTCTTAAAATCTTTCTGGAACATAAACATCATTTTCCATTTCTTCACTGTATCTGAATGAGAATATGCTATCAGTTAGCCAATAATCAGGTTATCTTTGTATTCTCTTTTCTGTCCACTGTTGATGTCAGCATTCAAGGTTCTTAACACTTAACATTGGCGACTACTAGGTTTGAAGACTTGCTTCTATCTTTAAGACGTGAGCACACTGGAGCGTGCTGATTGAAGTTTGAGAAGAATGGGTGTTTTCTGCTGTTGTGTAAATAATTCTCTGGAGTGCTGCTAGGCATTGTTGGTTTTCTGTGCTGCTCAGGGTCGCCTTTGTCAGTGGTGGACACTGAAGCTTCCCCGCATCACTCTCTATTTGCTTTCCACAGTTTTGTCATTGATTGCTGTATGCATTAGGAAACTTTTTATAAAATGCATTCCTGTTGATTTCTGGAAATGTAGTGTTTTATTATTTGTTAATATTCTTTGTTTTGTGTATTTATAGAGCTGGCATTTCCTGTTAGACGCCATAATTATGACAAGCCCTCCTCACAGAAAATCTTTTTAAAAATTCCTTACTCTTAGCCCTTTGTATCCTTACATTTGAAATAAATACTTTTATAGGAAGTGTATATATTTATTTTAGGGTGTTTTCTCATTTTCTTTTGAAGTTGTAGCCTATCACCAAATCTGAATTGAAGCATATTAAACATTCACATTTCCAGAAGTCACTGAAAGAAAATATACACACATAGGACTTGTTAATTTTCCTTTTTTTTCTGAGTTTTTTTTCTATTTTGTTGATATCTTGGGGTATGTTTCATTCCTTTATAAACGTGAGTAACGTCTTTTCTGGCTTTTCTCCTTTTCTTGTTTGGTTGTTTGGTAAACTGCACACAGTCCTGCCTGTTGTCTGAGTGAGTTGGATTCCCACTGTGTATGTGTGTTCTTCTTGCATTTTCTTTAGTGTTTGGTATTCTTTAAGACCTTGCGTGGGGACTCTGACAAGGTAGAGAGGTGTCCATTATATGAACATTTCTTCATGAATAACATGTGGTGCATGTGCTCTTTACATTTGGGCCATGTCAAAGCTTTCGTGCCTTGTTACTGTTTTGGTTTATTTCTTGATTATAATATTGTTTTGCATTGTTTTAACTTCTTGGTAAAATCTGGGTATTTGTGTATCATGCTATGAGATGTTTACCTATTTCTCCATTCTGTAGGCCATTTCTTCATACTTTCAGTTATTACCATTTCTATGCAATTTTTCAATTGCAGTCAGATTTCACCAATTCAATGGTTTCCACCTATTTTCATTCTTTTATATGATATTTACCTTTCCCTACACCACTGGTTGATGTGGCTGCCTATTCTGTAACCCAAGTTTTTGTCATTTTGGTGAAATTCAGTTGGTCACTGCAGGTTGGATTTTTTTTTTCTGGGTCTGCAGCTCTTCCTGCTTTAGGTGTCTACTCTTCTGTCACTGCCATGGAGCAGTTGTTCCTGTGGGTCTGCAGTGTCATTGAAAGGATGACTCAAATTTCACTCTGTTTCTCCGGCCTTTCTTTGCAGTCCTAAGGTCTTTGTAATTTTGCAATTTGTAAATAGTACAAATTTGTCGGAGTCTCCTTACTGCACCTGTGAGTAAATCATCGGTTGCTTGATTGTCATGGGTTAATCATGTACATCTTTTACATTGTCATTCTGACAAGAATGCGTTCTCTTCCATGTGCATGCCTGTTTTTCCCATGTTCCAGTACCATCCTCCACTCCTTCCATGAATTTAAGTTTGTATTTTGTATGTCTCTTGTGCTTGGTTCATTTCTTTTTCCTTTTTAAACTCTTCTTTATTGTTTACTGTTCATTTTTAATTAAATGAATAGAAGCAAAAAGTGTATAAATCTTCTCTAATTGTTTGGGTTGCATATATGAGAAAAGCAAAAGTTCTCTCTCCAAATAGACATTGATATCTCCTCTTAAGCTGTACTTGTATAAATTTTGTAATGAATAGGTATTGATATATAATGATTTCATAGGTTTCTTCACTCACTATTACCCCCTTGTCGCCTTCTGTCCCATCCTTAGGTAGACAAGTGTTACACAAATTCTAATTGGTCTTAATAATAAAAATCCATTGGTGGCTCATGCCTTTAATCCCAGCTCTTGGGTGGCAGAAGCAGTCGAATCTCTGTGAGATCGAGGCCAGACGGGTCTACAGAGGGAGTTCCAGGACAGGCTTCAATGTAATACAGAGAAGCTGTCTCAAAAAAAAACCAAGATTAATAAAAATAAAAAGCCAGAGTCAGACATAGGTGTTAATGCTGAAAGATCAGAGAAGCAGAGCAGCCAGCCAGTAATTCTTACCTCTACTGCGTCCTCAGACCAGAGTAATCCTGTCCCTACCAATCCTCTGACTGAATGCCGTGAGCTCTCACCTCCTGCCTTATATTCCTCTCTCCACTCAGCCATATGACTTCTGTTTCTACCTCCCTAGTGCTGGGATTAAAGGTATGTGACTCCCATGTATTGGCATTAAAAGTATGAACAGCACCTGGCTCTGTTTCTCTTTTAGACTGAATCAATCTTGTATAGCCCATTGTGACCTTGAAATCACAGACATCTGTCTGCTTCTGTTCCTGGGTGCTGGGATTAAAGGTGTGTGCCATCACTGCCTGACCTCTGACTAACTATTGGATAACTACATACTCTGCTCTTCAGGCAAGCTTTATTTGTTAAAGCACAAACACTGAAAGACCTCGGCATCAAAGTGCCGGGCACTGAACCGAACCCTCTGCCAAGAACCGGGGCCAGACCACTGGCTGCAAATGCAAGAGGTGATTTATTGAGTACACAGGCGCCTGCGGATGCTACTGCAACTCGAGTGCAGAGCATACCGGGCTTTCAGGGAGTACAATATTTATAGAGTTTCAATGGTTACATAAGTAACAGGCATTTCATTGGCTCATCTTGGGGGCAGGGGTAGTTCCCATGGACTAAGTTTCCTGGTATTACTTTATGAAAGACCCAGGCACGCTTCAGCAATTATTATCCGGGTCCCATGACTACTATGGTGATCATAGACACAACTGGGGGCAAGGGTAGTTGCCAAGGACTAGGTGTCCTGGTATTGTCATATTATCCGGGTCCCATGATTGCTATAGTGATCAGACACAATTGGGGGCCAGGGTAGTTGCCAAGGACTAGGTTTTCTAGTATTGTCATATGAAAGTTCCCAGCACGCTTCAGCAATTATTATCCGGGTCCCATGACTGCTATAGTGATCACAGACATCCTGTTTTGAGGGTGAGACACCTGGTCTGGGTTTCTTTCATTAGGCAACGGCCTGGCCTTACTTTTCTTTTCCTAGGGGGTCCTGGGTAGGGGTCTTTCAACACAATATCGTCATAGACATGTTTTCTTCCCAGTTGTCCTCATCATATTTTGTGTATGATTTGAGCAGAATTCTGCCAGGTAGTCAGGCCTAATATCTCTATAATACCAAGTAGCATGTCACATGGCAAGAGTTTTGCATTACCCTGTAGGTCTTAAAATCTCTTACTTTGTTTCCTGTAATATTCTCTGCCATTTACATGTGGGAGTATGGAATTCCCATTATAGCCTTTACATTCAATTGTCCCCACTATATGATGGGTTACAAGTCTGTGCAATAGCTGTTGTCCACTGAAAATGTTTCTTAGACCAAGGCTGAAAGCAACACCAGACTTTGCTGTGATAAGAATCAGTAAACGGCAGGTGAATCTCTGTGAGTTCGAGACTAGCCTGGTCTACAGAGCGAGTTCCAGGAAAGCCTCCAAAACAATACAAAGAAACCCTGTCTCGAAAAACCAAAAAACGAATCAGTAAACGACAGTTTGAATATTTGTACATGCAGTAGAATGTCAGTAGTGGAGCCCCTCCTAGGTTTTCTGACCTTTACCATCACTGATTTTTGGCCAGGCGGCCTAGGTCTTGCATGTATTTTCTTCTGTGAAACTGGCCTCAGATCAAACCAGAAAGTCTTCTGTTATCCCCAAAAGAGTCTTGCCACTATGACACTAAAGGGGGTTTGTTGCCTGGTCATTTGAAAGTAAAGCACACAGGATCCAAATCTGAGTGTGGCCATTGATATCTCTGCTCCCTGCCCAAGACTACATAGCAGTGTTTTGACATTGTAAGTGTTATTGCCAGGAAGTCCAAGATATTTTTGGACTTCTCAGCATCTTCTTGTTGGTATGTAGAAAGAGTGATTATGCAGTTTATGAGGAGATCTATCAGGTCTTAACCTTTTTCATTAGTATTTCTACTTTTAAATTGCAGAATTCTGTTTCTTATCAAGAGGTCCCCTTCTTGACTACTGTCCTATCTGTCTTTGAACTGTGTACTCATTGATGCAATATTTGGAGTGAAGAAGACATCCTTCTCTGTCTTCTGATTAGAGCAGAATGATTCCAGC